AACAAAACATTATCTTTGCAACCCTTCCATTTGACGTTCATTTTCATGTTCTTTGCAGTATTTATTGATACACTAGACATTTTGAATTTTTTTCATACATACTAATCAGGCAATAACAGCTGTTTTATTCTGGGATTTGATGTTACAGGATATTATTTATCTGTGATATGATATATTTGTGAATATATAACGTGAAATATATATATGATATACATAATAACACAGAATTTCATGTAGATACTGGTTTATATACTTTTTCTGCTTTTGTGACCCTATTTTTAAAGTGCTATATACCTTTTCTAAAAATGAGTTAGATACTGATTTAAAACAATTATCAGTGCCTTTTTCATTTGCTTTTTGAAAATATGACATTTCAAATTATTATTATTAGTTTTGTCACAAGACAAAGATTTGATTTTATTATACGTAAACTAATTTTTCTTCCTGATCTTAAGGTGACGTTCTGGATTTTTTTTCTTAAATTCTACTGAGAAAGTATAAGTTGACTATAGACTTTTTCATAGTAGAATTTAAAAATTAAATTGTGTGTCATATGTCATCAAACTCATTTCCTTACTTGCTACCATAGAGAAAGTGTGTCTGAGCTTCTCTGTTTTATTGATACAGTCATATCCTCATTTGTGCTATATTACATAAATTACATGTGGCCTTTATAGTTATATGAAAGATATGTTACCAGCCACATTGATCTCTATGTAAATTCATTACATATTTCTAGTTAGGTTGCACAACAAAGCCTACTTGCTGACTAGCCTATAAATAAAGATTCTTTAAATGCATTTGGAACAATTTTGCCTGCTTGTATAGAGTGAATGACTGCTATATGTGGTAACCTCAGAAGCTTGAGGAATAGATTTCCTGCCTTTTACAGCAAACATTTACTTAGGTTTTACATTCACATTTGTAATGCCATCCGTTTTGATTTAAAATCTGTCATCATTGAAAGAATCGTAGCTGGTGAGTAAGGAATTACTTTCGTAAACTTGAGACTAGAAGAGGTCTTATAGATGGACTAATTGTACCCCTTCATTTTAATTACAAGGACACTGAAGCCAGAGAGAACTGACTTGGCCAAGTAGATATAGAGAGCTGAAGTGAATACCAGACCCATGTAATCATCCTATACTGTGTCACTCTGCTACTGTACATTGGACTTGTTGCTTTTAAATGTGCTCATTATTATACTTGTGCATATTCTGAGTAGAAATCCTACTTCTTATGTGTTTCAAAACAACTCGTAAGAGCGATCAGCATTCCAAAGGCAGTTTTGGAGAACTAAAAGTGTGTTGTTATTTCTAGTTTTGTGTTGAGTTACTTCTCACTTCTAAATTAAGACTTACTTTGCACTAAGATTTCTTTAATGCCAATACAAATCAAGTATATTGCCAAAAGAGGGATTGTGATAGAAAATACATGTTTTCATTAAGTCTTTGGCCATTTTTAGCTCATTAAGCCTTTAAGCAGTTGCTAAATGAAGTCAAAGGAGCATAATTTATAAAAAGATAGAGTTAGGATTTAAATTTTTTTTTGTTCAGTTACAATCTCACATGGTGCCTGTGGGAAATGTTTCCACTTGTATTGCATCTTCCACAATCTTAGCAATAGTTGTCAATTGGTACTAATGAAATGTAATACTTTTAGGAAAGCATTTGCCCTGCGTGATCTAACTGGTGGTCGTTGTTGGCCTGTATTGAGCAAGTTAATTATTTGGAGAAGAATTAAAGTCACAAAGATGCAAAGAAGAATTTTACATAATTGAATTTTAGTAGAAATGTGATAACATGTTCTACATGTTTGGTTTTGAGTTTACCTTATATCCTTAAGGTCTTCAGACTTTTTGCTCATTTATCCCTTGAATACTTTACAAGTTGACATACACGGTTTTTCATCAGAAGAGTCAAATAATTGCAAAGAATATAATTTCTAACATCATAAATATTGACTTATAGTAAAACTATAACATTACTCATTTAAATGTATTCAGTGGAATCTAAGTACCAGGGATCTTTGATATCCATCACCTATTTAAAAAATAAATGCAAATAGAATTGTTTTGAAACTTTCTAGGGCAATAAGCTCCTAATTATCTAAAATTTTCTTCTGGATTTAGTAATTAGTGCAATTATTATTTCTACAGAATTAATCTGTCTTAAATATATTACAGTTTTGGTAAATATTAAACAGAATAAGTAAAATTTGTTGAAATGTGTCACTGAATGAAGTAGGAGAGGTGGAGCTGAGCATCTGTATGAGAACCCCCTTATAGGTGATATAACTTGTGAAAAGTCCTCTTGTATCCTCACACACATCCCTGTTTGAATGCTGCTGACTTAAGTGACTGACTGTGCCTTCTGCAGGATAGAATCACATAATATAATTTAGTGACTAAAGGCAGACACTCTGCAGGCAGACCATATGGGCTTCAATTCCAGCTCTGTGTCCCAATTCTTCCTTGTGCTAATTGCATGACTTTAGGAAATCTGTGTAACCCCCCATCCCTCTGTTGTCTCATCTGTAAAATGAGAATAACAGTTTGCTGTTGCACAGGTAAAGTGAAATAATACTTGTAACATGCTATATATGCTTGTAATATGCTATAATACTTGTAACATAATACTGTCTGACACATGCATGTTAGTTGTACAGTCAACTCTAGATATTCTTTTAAATGTATTTTGAGAATTTTATAGATATATCTTAATGTGTTTATAAGCATTTCTCAGACAGATTTAAATAATTTGAGATTACCAATTGGTACTTCCCTTTCCTCTTTCCTGGTAAATCAGATAATTTCCCACATTTTATACAAGAAACTAATCAGAATTTCCCCATGAATATGTACACATAGATCTGTTGGTATAGGAATGCATATCTATTTAAGCACAAGAATACTTAATGTTTGTCCGTGACAGTGAGACAAATTATAATTAACAAACATTTATTGAATACCCACTTTAAGTAAAAGTTGTATTTAACAAAAAGGAGAAAAATCGACTCTAAAGCTTGCCCCTGCAAAGGACTTACAAGATATATTAAGATTAATAAACAAATGTTGGGAATCATTGAATTTTACAAATAGCACAATCAGCAATCTCTGATTTGAAGAGAACCAAAATGAATTCAGTGATCTATACTAGAAGGTGACCTAGGTAGCAGGAAAAGTAGGAAGGATAGGGGAAAAAATAGTTATTCATACCTTAAATTTGTATTAATAGATCAATTAACAATGTAGCCTCTAAGCAAAGTCAAGGTATAGGGATTCGAATTCAGCTTATTAATGTCTTTGTAAGAATTGTTATAAAACTCATTAATCACGAGATGATAATCTTACACTTCACTAGTAGACATTTTTCCTAGCATAACTTGAACTCTCTGTTATGTTGGTAAGAAATATAATGATATATTAACTTAAGTGTATCTCTTTAAAATATATGTCCTGTTTAACAGAACCAATAGTTTAGCCATTAAGATATTTTTCAAAATATACTTATTTATATCCAGGTTCATCTGCTTTTTCCCTAATAAACATAAACAAACAAAAAACTGGAAAATTGAGAACTTTGGCATGAGCATTTGTATTTCATGAGATTTTGAAATAAGAGACAGGATAGGTTCTCTTATATGGATTGCTGACCTTCGTAATTGCATACCCTGTTTAATTCAGTAATTATGTAGGAGGATTAAGTCTTATCCCCACTAATGCTATACAGCATTTGAAAAAAGTTAACCAAAATAATTTTTGTTATGATGCTCATTATATCTTTGGAAATAATTAGTACTATACATCCTACAGTATCCCAGAACCAATGAGAATCATTGTTAAATTCATGTAAAAATAATGCTTAAATAAGGTAGACCTATTATTGGGCCTTGAGTAATTCAGGAACCATCCTAAAATATCACTTCCTTTGGTGGGCCTGGGAGGGAAAAAGCTACAAAATTTGATTTTAGTTCCATGGTTATTAGAGTCCCTCAATTTATGCTTTTATTTTAGAATAGTTGAATATGGAATGAATTTTGATAATGTGAATCTTATTCTGATGTTGGCTTTCATGATAAAATTTGAACTGTCTTCCTGGAGTTTAAAAAAAAAATTCTACTAGTCTGAAACTCTTGGAAAAGAAGTGGGTGTATCTTTCTCCCCCTACTAATATAGTGGGAGGAGAAATTTCTCGGTACTTACTGTTCTCTAATATATTCTTTCTGCTATTACTGTATCTCATCCCAAATAACAGGACCATAAGAACTTCTTTCATTTGGAGATCCCCTTACTCCTTTATTGCAAAACACGGAACTCTTTATTCTTTCTTCACCTTTTGTGCATAGGCCTGTAGGAGTTTTAACGGAATTAGGCTACAATATTTTACTTCCGTGAAGGGCCTTTTTTGTACATGATTTTCTCTAACATAAACATTCTACAGGTTTCAGGCCCCATAACTCTGTAAATGCAAAAGGAAAGTAATTTGAAATTCCTGAAAATATTATAGACTGTTTTAACCTATGCCGTTTTATGTGCTTTCAAGTATATGTGATTGTAACTAAATCAGCAGTGTTCTCCCAAAAGGTTTTTAGAGAACCCTGTAATTCATAGATGATGTGTTGTTAACTTATCAGCAAACATGTATAAATGGATTTTTCTGTCTGCAGTGTATGAAGTGTATTCTCTCAGGTAAATACATACCTCACTTTCAGCCTTTCTTTACCCAGTTAATCTTTAGGAATGTCGTAAGTTACAACAAGCTCTTTTCTGTGAATAAATGATGTCTAAGATTTTCTACTCTGTTTTATCAAATTAACATCAACTGGTTCTTCTTGGGTACTTGTTGGGTACTTCTTTTAGCTGTTAGTTAACATATGTTGTAACTACCATGACTTGCTCAGCTCTCTATTATCCATAATACCAGCTTCATGCCTTAAGTATGAGTAAAATAGATTTGTGATGAGAAGGAACTCAAACTTTTTTTTTTTTTTTTTAACAGATTTGGTTCATTTGACTTGCACATCTTCTAAAACAGCAAGAGAAGATTTAGAACCAGTTGTGCAGAAGTTGTTTATTCCATATACTGAAATGGAGATAGGTAAGAAAAATAATTGACTCATGATGGAAGGGTAATGTAACCATCATAATCTTCTTAGATATATCATGAAAGTTTCTGCAACCTAAACTGAAATGTGATGTATTTAACAACAATTCACATGTTTTGGTAAGATGGTTAAGCATAGTGTCTGCCTAAACATGTAGGAAAATGTTCACTCTACAATGTTAAAGGAAATATATGCATCATACACACACAAAAAAGCATAATTAAGCACAAAAATATACATTTATATTTATAGTTACACAGAAAAAGGATTGTTAGAAAATTTTGGTGGGATTATGGGCCATTTTCCTTATAATTTTCTTTATTTTACAAGTGTTGTACAGAAAGCATATATTCCTTTTTCAGAAAAATGTATCTTCCTTTAAGGAAAAAAGATTCAAGTAATAGATTAAAATATTAATTGGCAGATGTAGAAATCCTTTCCTATCTAATAGTCTTTTTTTTTTTTGAGACAGAGTCTCACTCTGTCGCCCAGGTTGGAGTGCAGTGGCGTGATCTTGGCTCACTGCAGCCTCCACCTCCCAGGTTCAAGCAATTCTCCTGCCTCAGCCTCCTGAGTAGCTGGGACTACAGGCGAGTGCCACCACACCCAGATGATTTTTGTATTTGTAGTAGAGACGGGTTTTCCCATGTTGGCCAGGGTGGTCTGGAACTCCTGACCTCAGGTGATCCGCCCACCTCGGCCTCCCAAAGTTCTGGAATTACAGGCTTGAGCCACTGCATCCGGCCTCTAATAGTCTTTTAATACATAATGTACTAGTGATTTAATAAATATTTAACTCCCAAAAGTGTATATGCTACTTATTCATAGGGGAAACACATTTTAAAATTTTCCCCCTATATAATAGGGTAGCACTTGCAGCTATGAATGGAGAAAATATGGCATATTTTCTGTGTAAATGATAAAAGAAGCCTTTTGAATTTTATATGACGTGAAGGTGATTTTTATTATAGGATTTGCATGTGCACTTGAATCTTGATCATTTTCTTCCATTGATTTATATGTCTTTTTTTGCATGTCACTTTTGTTCATGCAACCATTTATTTACTCATACCTATTCTGTTTCCTTGCAGCTCATTTCCTATGTGGGTTGCTTATTTTCTTAATGCAGAGATAGTGCATAGAGGGGGGTTTATTTACATGAGAAGACAAGCTGTTCTTTAGTTTTTTTTTTTTAATTTTATGGGTACATACTAGGTGTGTATATTTATTGGGTACATGAGATATATTGATACAGGCATACAATGTGGAGTAATCACATCATGGTAAATGGGATACCCGTCACTTTAAGCATTTATCATTTCTCAGTGTTACAGTCATTCTAGTTATACTCTTTTAGTTACTTTAAAGTTCACTGTAAATGACTGTACTCACCCTGCTGTGCTATCAAATGCTAGATCTTATTTGTTCTGTTTATGTTTTGCACCCTTTAACCATCCCCACTTTTCCCTCTTCCTTCTCCATTACCCATCCCAGCCTCTGATAACCATCATCGTACACTCTATCTCCATGAATTACATTGTTTTAATTTTTAGCTCCCACAAATGAGTGAGAACACATTAAGTTTGTCTTTCTGTGCCTGGCTTATTTCACTTAACATAATGAACCTGTTATGTTCTCAGGGGCTAATATCAATTATGTTTTTTGGGAGCTATCCAAATAAAGTATTTGAAAACTTCACTTTAGTTTGGGAGTTAATTTAAAAATTAAATTATTTTAGTTATAATTTATTAATTTGTAAATTGCTTATATGTTTTCTTTATTGGAAAGTATCATGTAAGTGTTTGGATTATTAAAAATTTGATTGCCAAGGTAAAACACATGATAATATTCCTAAATCTAATATGGAGTCATAGTTTTTTCTTTTGGCTTTAATTACAACTATACTTTGTGTAGAAACCCTGAGTTTCTTAATTATTTCTGAAATTTTAAATAATTATTATGTTGTAACTTCATTGTGTGGTAGTCTTAATGCACTAAATATGAATCATATCATTACTCTTCACTTTTTAAATGCATCTAATTTTCTTTAAAAAAATATCCAGCTGGGGGATATTACATGTTCATTACTTAGCATCCTCTATCCATTTTAGATTTTTAAACATTAATCTTAATAGTTAAAGTGATCCCATTTTTGAAATGATGTATTGTTTAGAACCTGAGAGGAATTCTTTGCTAAGAACTATGTGCTCAGAGGGGTCCTCAGGTGCACTGAGGCACTGAAAAGCTAGTTTTCACTGCCACATGGGCCTTTTTATCATCAGGATGAGGTAGTGGTCATATTTTAATTAAAATGTCAGAACAAATACTGTTGGAGTTATTGAAAATGAATCACCAGATAAAGTGAGCACTGGGCCATGGCAGGTCAAAGAGGCAAAGTCACCTGGAGAAGAGAACTCAATTCATTTTCCTGCCTAAATGAGGAAGAAGGAACTTTATGAGCAATATGAACTTTTAATACTTTAAAGCACATTCTTCTCTGTAGCAGAAGCCCCTATTTTCACAGATTGATGGCTTTTAGTATTATGTTTTGATTATTTGACATTCATGTAATACCTTATGCTTTACTGCATTGTAAATATTGTAGTTTAAAACGTGTACCAAAGGAATAACATTATTTGGGCTTATTTTCTTTTTGTTTGTGTTTGAATTCTACATTCTCTGTGCTTCATAATCCTCGGTGAAAGTCAGCCTAGTCACCTTTTAGAAAAAAAATCTGTATAATAGCCATCCTAGTACGTGTGAAGTAGTATCTCATTGTAGTCTTGCTTTGCTTCTCCCCCAATGATTAGTGATGTTCAACATCTTTTCAAGAGCTTATTGGCCATCTGTCTATCTTCGCTGGAGAAATATCTATTCATTGCCTTTGCACATTTTTTTTTATTATTATTATACTTTAAGTTCTAGGGTACATGTGCACAACGTGCAGGTTTGTTACATATGTATACATGTGCCCCTATGACAGTCTCCACCACTCTGCCGGTATTACCAACATAGTTTACTCTATCCCTAAACACGGCATGCAACTGTAGACACCATTTCTTGCTTTGTTGTTGTTGTTGTGCTATAGTTGCTTTTCTTCTACCTACCCTATTCTACACTTACTCCAGTTTAATTTGCCCAACATCCTATTCTAAATTGCCTATTACATCTTTAGTCCTTCTTACTATCAAATTGAATGAAATGAGCTACTGCAGAAAACCAGTTCTACCACCGGCAACTTGTGATGCACTCCTAGCCAAAGCTCAGCAACTTTAATATTTTTTGACAGTTCTGCACTTCAGAACTGCATGTTATTTTTCCAGCTATCTCTTTGCCTTCCAGCTGACCTCAAAGAAAGATGAAGCAGTTATATATCTCTTTAAGGTTTTAAGGTCAAAGCCTGATAATGCCCTTGTATCCAGAGCATTTATCTTCAGTCTGTGTCAGTTTTTCACCTTCCTCATGGTTTCTTTTCAAAGTTTCAACCTCTATAAAATTAGTTTAAATCTATTGGATTATTCGTTTCCTCCAGCTTTTATTAAGTGGAGTGTTCCTTTGAGCTGGATCTTTAATGAGATACAAGATAAACTCTCCTAGTATATGCTTAGAAATGGGCTGGGCAATATTAAAGACTTTCCAGACCTTAGCCCACTTGTTAGCAGTGCTCCCCAAGTCTGGTATACCAAATCATAGGAGATACATTTAAGTACCTTCCCATAAGATTTGTGTGACTAAACTCACTAATCAGTTTACTAAGAGCCATATGGTGTTAGCTATAAAATATGAATTCCTTATGTTCCTTTATTTTGTCAATAGATTTAACCACCTAATATGTTCCTACATGAAGTTAGTGATATCTTAGATGACTCATAGATCTTGGCACTAGAAAGGAGCAGCTTAGGAGATCACTTCTTCCACTCAGAGTTTCTTCATCCTATTCCATTAATAATTATGGATTATTCAGGATGAACTAGGAAAATAACTTATTTGGTATTCTTATAGTGGAGATACTGTAAATTAAATATAATAAAATCCTGTTTATCCTGATGTGGGAAATAGGGCTTTCTTGTTAATTGAATACTGCAATTAGGTAAAAATTTCTCTACATTGATTACCAATTAAATAATAGTTATTAATGAGATAATTATGCCTTTAACATTTTCTTTATTATTCATGAGGTACTTCATGGTCTTGGGCAATCTTCATAAACATTCATTATTATTTTTGTACAAAATTTGAACTTTTGTTCAGATTCAGGCTAAAGAAAACTCTCTAGTCAATGAATGTATCCACAGCAATATTTTATGTTTTCAAACAAAGAAAATCTAATTATAACAATTTTAAAGAGGAGAGGCGAATAAATGATTGTCATATTAGCAAGAAATAGGCTTTATGCATTGAGATTAATAACATTGGACCTTTTTACAAGCATATCGTACTTTGGATCATACCTGAAAATACAATAACATCAATTCAGAAATTATTTACTGAGCATCTGTCATGTGCTAAGCCCTATATTAGGAAACCAAAAACAAGGGAGGAGAGTAAGAACTAAGTCTACTTCATGTGTGTATCCCCAGCTCCTAGCTCAATGCCTAACACGCGTAATAGACACATGCTCTTAAATGAGAGAACATATGCTCAAAATGGCATTCACTGTTATGACTTCATTTTTGATATTTGTTGTTTATCATTAATTTTTTAATCCAATAAGACAAAGCATTAGGATGTGAGTTAGGACAACAAAGTTTTAATCCTATATTTACTATTTTTGTAATAATAACTTTATCGATATATCATTCATATACCATATGATCCACCCTTTTGAAGTGTACAATTCAGTGTTTCTTAGTATATTTATAGAATTGTCCAAACATCACCACCATCAGTTTTAGAACATTTCTGTCACCCCCAAAAGAAACATCATACCAATTAGTGATCACCTCCCATTTGCCCCCAGTTTCCTTCAGCCCTAGGTAACCTACTGACCCACTTCCTGCTTATCCTAGACATTTCATGTGTATATACTATTGATTTACTATATAGTTTATCAAGTTGGTTTGTCCATTTGAAACATAAGGAAATCAATTTATGTTGTCTTCTGTCTTTATAGGGAAAATTTAAGCAGGAATGTGATCATAAACCCTTTGATACTAGTGAGAAGTAATAGAAGTCCAAAAGAGCACGATTGGAGTAAAATCTAATTAACTTACTTATCAAAATAGTGTGTAGATGCAAGTTTACTGATTGTTTACATACAAAGCTCTGATTTACTACAATGTCTAGTCATGGCTTAATCGGTAATAGGCTACACAGTGTAGTAATTGACAAGCATATTGTATTTTAGAATGTAAATAAAATTTATTTATATGTTTAGAAAATGAACAAGTAGAAAAGCCAAGAATTCTGTGGGCACTTTACTTCAATATGAGAGATTCGTCAGACATCAGCAGGAGCTGTTATAAAGATTTACCATCCAACGTGTATGTCTGCTCTGGCCCAGATTGTGGTTTAGGAAATGATAATGCAGTCAAACAGGTAAGGCTGTTGATGTTTCTCAGTTTTGTGTTAGGATGTTTGTGTGGTTGGGAAATATTTTTTCCTCTGGGAGGAGAAAAAAGTCTAGAAAAGCATCTCTCAATACCATTTCTGTAATTTGCCCTAAAAGTTTTTTCTATGTAGCTTCTACAAAGCTACTTTTAAGTATACTTTAAATACAGGATCAGGTATTTTCACTTTCTTGAATAAAATGTTGAATTACAGAGATTTTTTTATGAGTTCCATTGTGGGAATAAGGATAGAAGATGCTAAAAATACATATTCATAAATAAGAATTTATAATGCCAGTATTCTAAAGAAACATTGTTTCTGATTTAAACAGTTGAACCATTGGTATATTATTTTGAAATACATAAATTATTTTTCTTGATAAACAGTCATTTCAAGAAGGTTGTAACTAGTAAGTCATATAAAATTAATTTTACAGTAGTCAATGCATTTTTTTAATCATAGAAAAGAAGTTATAGCATAGTTTTACATAGTTAACATGATTCCATTAATGTTTTGACACAAGTTCATGTCCCAAGAGCTACCATTACTGATGCTGAGGTCTGTTGTAAAGTAAGGTGGAAGTTTGTGATAGCCATCCTGGTCAGGGCTATGAAGAGGCACAGACTGATACAAGCTGCTAAAAGTGAGCCATGATTCCATTAAGCTGAATATTGATATGTATATATAAATATACTTCTTTGCCCTGGACAGGACGAAAAAAACAGAAAATATTTTTTGATGAAACATTTCTAAATTTTTCACAGGTAGAACTGGCACATCTGTCCATTAAGTCAATAAATGGGTAATTTAACATTGTTCTAAGACCACAGATGGAACTTTCGTTCCTACCAGTGGCAAGGATTTTATAGTAGCAAATGTCCTGGTTGAGCCTGTAATCTAATTTTGAGTCGTGGTAGCAAAGCTATGTCTATGATGAATATACAAACATCTGCAGTTTTTTTCTGGAATTCTTGTTTATTTTCTTCAGTGCCTGATGGTGATCCTGTATAATTATATTCAGGCAGTGACACCAAACAAAAGCAGAAAGTCACATCCATCTCTCATCCATCATTCATTCTATTAGTTTAGTAAGAACCCAAGATGGCTGAAGATCTGCATTTATAGCTTGAAATGATCAAGTCATTTTTACTTTGATGTTCTAATTTTTTGCAAGTAGAAATTGCCAACAAGTTTTTAGCAAGGTAGCTTAGGTCATTTTTATCCCTGAATGAACTTTAATATTTTTTAACCAAAAAAATTTAAGTAAGGGCTTATAATACAAGTACTAATGTATTCTAAACATCCGAACTGCATGCTAGAAGATTATAATTGAGGGATAATTTTATCATGAGGTCATTTGCTTCTCAAGAAGATAATCTTCAGAGGTAACATGCTGTAACAGTAGAAAACAGTACAGTGCTAATTTTGGTACTAATTAATATATGCTATTAAATGTAAGCAGTTTTAAATTTGTTGTATAGCTTTTAGTCTCATCAATTTTGGGGGAAATATTATGATGCCTACTTTTAAAGAGCATTGACAATATTTATAAATAGCTTGTGTATTCAGATAAACTGCATGCTAATTCCTGTGTATCAGCCTGTAATTATGTCAATCACTAATTGGCGATTTCTGGTGATTGGTATTTTCCAAATGAAGATTATCCATAAAGGCTCTCAGAATATCACCTAGACTTTGCTTATGTAGGCAACACAAGCCCATGCAGATTTCTTTATTTTAAAAAAACAAATGAAATACTTCATTTTACCAGTTGGCAAGGTGACATCTTTTCTTATTTGTAAAATGTATAGAGGTTGAGTAATGTAAACTTGACACTCTTGTGTTCATAGGGAACTATTTGTGATTTGAAGATGCACCAAAAACATAAGGTGATATGTCTGTAATACCCCCAAGTTCAAATTGTTTGCTCCTGGCCTCCAAGACATTCTCTATTGTCACCACAAAACCAACCTAAGTGATAGTTGCGATTCTTTCTATGACTTGCTCATTTTTGTATTTTATGTTGCTTCAGATTTGTTTTTATTTGTCTGAAACTGACATCTGAGATATCTCTTTTTCTTGGCAGATGTTGTGTACCATTTACCCAAACATACTGATGGACAGTTCCATAGTCCTCATTCCCAAGACATTGATGGCTCACTCCTTCAGAAGCCCCACCCTCTAGGAGATGTCACTACCATGGGAACAAGAATAAATAGTACCATACTCTTTGTATTTTACTTCAAGTATAAAATGAATTAAATTGGCTGATGTTGGGCTGGACTGGCAACCTAACCTCCATTTAGAACATGGTTTTATGGACAGATTAGCCAGTCACTTACGACGTTTGATACACAGCCCATTACTAAGTTGAGAGCTAGCTGTATAGATTGAACTATCAGGTAGTTCACATACTGTAGTACCGTTTCTTTTCTCATGCCTTTGAGAGAGAGAGGGCAATTTTAGATGTCATATTTTCTGTAGCTGCCATTCATTTGAGTACTTTCTATGTGTCAAGATTCTATCCTTGGCATCTCATATATATTATCTTATTTTGTCCTCAAAACAATCTTGCAAGATAAGTATTTGTGATATCCCCATTTATAGATAAGGAAGCTACATCCTAAAGGGGCTAAATAACTTGTCCAGAGGTCACATAGTTAGTAAGTTCTTGAGCCAAGAATTAAACTCAACTCCTTTGGATCCCAGTGCTTGTACACTCGCCCAGTGAGTGTTATATGCTACTTTCTGCTTATGAGTAGGCCTACATCCTAAAAACATTAAAGTACTATATTAATGAAATGTTTATTTTTGTTTTGTGTTGATGTATGTTAACTAAACTTATAAATATTTTAAATAATTCACTTTGTTCTATCCATACATCCCAGTGTGAGCACACCAAGTTACAATATAATTAGCACTTTCCAATTTTTTAACCACCTGAAATTTTTTACCCTTTGAGCTAACTTCTGGCTTAAAGGTGAAGAGGATGAAAAGTTGCCAATTAACTATTCTGTGCTTAGAACTAGGTTTAGTTGGCAAACAAAATGCAGCAGACCAAGAAGCATTAGATACACTTTCCAGAGCATGGCAGTTGACCCTAAGAGGTTCCAGCAGTTAGAGAGAGGAGAGATTTGGGAAGGACTGGAGTCCGGCTATAGGAAATTGGCATCAACAAGGGCCAGGGCAGATGGGCTAAAGGTGGGAGTTTCATAAGCAGGTAGAACACAAAGAAGAGTGGTGTGGCAACTGGCAACTGGTGCTAATCTTAGGAGGCGGGTGGTGCATGACAAGATGTATGGAAGCATATGGTGTGGGATCCAGCCACAGAGATTGGAGTTAAGGGTAAAAGCTATTCTGTGGGAAGGAGGCAAAAGGGAGACAAGGTGTCAAACACAGAGGAATTGGCATAGAAGTAAAAGAATTTATAGTAATTATTATTATTATATTTATACTTAATATTTGTATTAAATGTTACTGACATTCTATTTTATGCCAAGGCACTAAGGATCGAGTTGACTAAAAGTGTTTGTCATCCTGGAGGAATCACTGTCAGGTAAAGGAGAAAAGCATGTAAACAAATGACAGTGTAGTGTGGTATATGTACTAATACATCCAAAGTCTAGAAATAATATAGAGGAGCAATGAGCCCAATCTCGGAGTCAGAGAACCTTACAGAGAGGGGTATAATAGATGAGTAGTAATTCTCCATCTAAATCAAAGACAGTAGAATTGAAACATTCTGAGTGTAAAGAATAACATTGGTACCAGCCCAGTATGTAAAAAATAAGTATGGTGTATTGTTTCATACAAATAAACAGGTATTAGTAAATCAAGAAGTCTGAGAGATGCAGGCTAGATGAAGTGATATTTGATAAGATCAGAGAAATTAGTCCTGAAGGGTTTTATTTTCTATAGTAGGGATCTTGGATTTTATCCTATTGGTGATGGGGAGTCATTGAAGAATTTTAAGCCAAAAGTTGAATAAACAGAATTTTATTTTCCATAGACCCATCTGAGGGTGGCATGGAGATGGATTATATGGGTGGACTCTAGAGGCAAGGAGACCAGTCCAATTCCGAGGCTATTGTAGTTGTCTGGTTGAAAGATGGTGCATGTCTGGGCTATGTCAGTGGGGAAGGAGCAGATGAAGTTAAGAGATAGAAGATAAAATTGATAGAATTTGATGATTGTTTGCATGCCAAGTGTAAAAGGGAGGGAGAACTTTTACAGATAGTAAAGATAAAGATGTAAGACAAAAAAGACCATTAGGGGAACGGAAGTATGAGGTAATGGCTTTGTCTGACCTAGATCCCGCTTCTACAGGGACTGTGTTTCTAGCAAAGGAGTATGGTGAGTTCCCGGGATGGAGAGCAAAGATAGGCATCTGTAATGTTTAATTTCCAGATAGCCACAATAAAAAATGCAGTTAGCTATAGTTACCATGCTGTACATTAGATCCCGAGAACTTATAACTGAAAGTTCATACCCTTAAACCAACAGCTCTTCACTCCCCAGCCCCTGGCAACCACCCTCAACTTTTCTAGATTCTACATATAAGTGAGATCATATGGTATTTTTCTTTCTGTGCTTGGCTTATTTCACTTAGCATAATGTCCTCCAGGTTCATTCTTCTTGTCATAAATGACAGAATTCTTCAATTCAAATTTGACAAGAGCAGATTTTAAGTATTCTTACTAGAAACACACACACACACACAGTGGTAACTATTGGTAGTGATGGACGTGTTAACTTAATTGTGGTAATAATTACACAGTGTATATCAAATGACCTTGTACACCTTGAATATAAATAATTTTTGTCAATTAAGTATTTAAAAACTTCAAAGAAATTGTCTGTAGCAATTGGCGTGTCCAAAAACATACCCTTGAAGTTTTTTTTATTCTGTTACCCTGTCATACTAATAAGTTCAGCTTAAATCTTGACATTTTTACTTATGTTATTATTAGTAATAATGAAAATAGCTACCATATATGTTGGCTTAATCTCTGATATTTTAGAGATAAGGAAGCCAAAGCTCAGAAATTGAGTAAGCATTCCCCAAATCACATAGCTGCTAAATCGTAGAGCCAGTATTTTTACTGAGGCTATCTTTTCAAAACTCACGTGCTTAAACAAGTGCTGTAGTCCTTAAAGTCCAGGAAATGGGAATTACATCAGAAAGCAAATAGTTGAACAAACAGTGAAGCGTTTTCTTCATTTGAACAGTGACTTGTTAAAATTGCTATATGCTAAATTAGACTATACCAGTATCATATATAGGTTTGTATTAGTCTGTCCTCACACTGCTATAAAGATACTATCTGAGACTGTGTAATTTATAAACAAAAGAGGTTTAATTGACTGACAGTTCCTCATAGCTGGGGAGGCCTAAGGAAATGTAAAATCATGGTGGAAGGCAAAGGGGAAGCAAGGCATGTCTTTCATGGTGGCAGGAGAGAGAAAGCGAAGAGGGAACTGCCAAACACTTTTAAACCATCAGATCTTGTGAGAAGTCACTATCACGAGAACAGCATGGGGAAAACTGCCCCCATAATCCATTCACCTCCCACCAGTCCCTCCGTAATACTTGTGGATTACAATTGCAAATGAGATTCGGGTGGGGACACAGAGCCAAACCGTATCATTCTGCCCCTGACCCTCCCCAAATCTCATGTCCTTTTCACATTTCAAAACCAATCATCCCTTCCCAACAGCCCTCCAAAGTCTTAAAACTCATTCCAGCATTAACTCAAAAGTCTATGTCCAAAGTCTTATCTGAGACAAGTCAAGTCCCTTCTCCCTATGAACCTGTAAAATCAAAAGCAAGTTAGTTACTTCCAAGATACAATGGAGTATAGGCATTGGGTAAATGTCCCCATTCCAAATGGGAGAAATTGGACAAAACAAAGGGGCCATAGGCCCCATGCAAGTCCAAAACCCGGCCAGGCAGTCATTAAATCTTAAAGCTCCAAAATCTCCTTTGACTCCAAGTCTCACATCCAGGCCATGCCGATACAAGGGCTAGATGCCCACAGCCTTGGGCAGTTCCAACCCTGTGGCTCTGCAGGGCATAGGCACTGTGCCTGCTTTCACAGACTGGCATTAAGTGCCTGTGACTTTTCCAGGTGCATGGGGCAAGCTGTCAGTGGATCTACCATTCTGGGGTCTAGAGAACAGTGGCCGTCTTCTTACAGCTCCACTAAACAGTTCCCTAGTGGTGACTCTTTGTGGGGGCTCCAAGCCCACATTTCCCTTCAGCACTGCCCTAGCAGAAGTTCTCCATGAGGGCTCTACCCCTGCAGCAGACTTCTGCCTGGCCATCTAGGCGTTTCCTAACATCCTCTGAAATCTCTGCAGAGGCTCCCAAACTTCAGCTCTTGTCTTCTGTGCACCCTCAGGCCCAACATCACATGGAAGCTGGCAACGCTTGGGGCTTGCACCCTCTGAAGCAACAGCTCAAGCTGTACCTTTATTCCTTTTAGCCATGGCTGGAGCTGGAGCAGCTGGGATGTAGGCTATCATGTTCCAGGGCTGCACAGAGCAGTGGGGCCCACCCAGCCCACAAAACCATTTTTCCCTCCTAGGGAAGATCTCTGACATGCCCTGGAGACATTTTCCCCATTGTCTTGTCTATTGACATTAGCTCATCGTTGCTTATGCAAATTGCTGTAGCCAGCATGAATTCCTCCCCAGAAAATGGGTTTTTATTTTCTCCCACGTGGTCAGGCTGCAAATTTTCCAAACCTTCATGCTCTGCTTCCCTTTTAAACGTAAGTTCCAATATCAGACCATCTCTTTGTGAACACACATGACTGAGTGCTTTCAGAAGCAGCCTGGTCACCTCTTGAATGCTTTGCTGCTTAGAAATTTCTTCTGCCACATACCCTAAATCATCTTTCTTAACTTCAAAGTTTCACAGATCTCTAGGGTGGGGACAAAATGCCACTAGTCTCTTTGCTAAAGCATAGCAAGAGTCACCTCTGCTCCAGTTCCCAATAAGTTCCTCATCTCCATCTGAGGCCACCTCAGCCTGGACATCATTGTCCATATCACTATCAGCATTTTGGCCAAAACCATTCAACAAGTCTCTAGAAACTAGTTCCAAATTTTCCCACATTTACCTTTCTTCTTCTGAGCCCTCCAAACGATTCTAACCTCTGCCTGTTACACAATTCCAAAGTCACTTCCACATTTTCAGGTTATCTTTTAGCGGTACCCCACTCCTGGTACCAATTCTGTGTTAGTGTCTCTTACACTACCGTAAAGATACTACCTGAGACTAGGTAATTTGTAAACAAAAAAGGTTTAATTAACTCACAAGACCACATGGCTGGGAAGGCCTCAGGAGAGTTACAATCATGTCAGAGGGTGAAGGGGAAGCAAGACACATCTTACTTGCTGGCAGGAGAAAGAGAAAAGGGGGAACTGCTAAATACTTTTAAACCATCAGATCTTGTGAGAATTCACTATCACAAGAACAACATGGGAACAGTCGCCCCCATAATCTAATCGCCCCCTAACATGTGGGGATAATAATTTGAGATGAGATTTGGGGGGGGACTCAGAACCAAACCATATCAAGTCTCTATAAGATATCATATAAGCAATATTAAGGCAATTGTATTTCTTTCGATATATAGAATGAATGTGTTTCAGTTCTCAACAATCTGAACACTTGATAATGAACCTGATGAGATACTACCATACTTGAAGTGTTGACCTGAATACATGTATAGAATTAAAGGGAGAAGTCATAGAATTCTGAAAACAGACTTATAGAAGTTCATGTATTCTGATAAAGTACTATAACCTGCTTAAGGAAAATTTTAAGGATAACACTTAATTGTTTATAGTTAATGCCAGAAATGCACACACATTTTAAACCGATTTCCAAAAACGATTTATCTTTTCTTCCTTGGCCAGGCTGAAACACTTTTCCAGGAAATCTGCCCCAGTGAAGATTTCTGTCCCCCTCCACCAAATCCTGAAGACATTGTCCTTGATGGAGACGGTTTACAGCCAGAGGCTTCAGAATCCAGTGCCATACCAGAGGCTAACTCAGAGACTTTCAAGGAAAGCACAAACCTTGGAAACCTAGAGGAGTCCTCTGAATAATGGATATACACCGAACTGGATACCCAACTTTGGAAATTTCTACTGGTCTCAGAGTCTACTTGATAGAAGGACTGTTTGAAAAATGTTAGAAAGCAACAGCAATTATAAGGCAAAATAGGTAATAGAAATCCAAAAGGGGATTTTCCTTATAGAGGACGTTACAAGAACACACAACACTTACAAAGCACATTGACTTGCTCATTTTGAATACCAAACTTGTGTGACTAGCAGATGAAAATTATAAATCAGTTGATTCTCAGGAATGTAACTGTGGATATGAAAGTGATCCTATGCATTGTTAATAATTCCATGGTCTTAGGACAATTTTGCTTACCACTATGGATCTTTGTTTGAAAGCCACATTTTCAGAACCAGCTCACATATTTTCTTTGGTTATTTGAATTATATTTTCTTTATGGACAAGAGCATCATAGCATAATGATAAAAACATATAGAAAAACTAAAGTATCATGATCTAGATAGAAGCCTGTATTTAGAATACAGGTTTGTTTTGTTTTGTTTTGCTTTCTATGTTGAGAAGCATTGAAAATGCTAATACAAAGGTGTTTAAACATTGTTAAGAACAAGTCAGTAGTGTTTTTTAGTATCAGTAGTGATATTTGTTTGTAAATTATTTACATATTGGGAAAGGTCAATAATGAAGAAGTGAAAGAATGGAAGGAAAGGTGTGGATAGGCTCATTGATATTTGGATGTTCTGTCTTTCAAATAACTAGAGTATTAGGCTAATTGTCTACAGACCTAATTTAATCCTGGCTCTCCTTCTGATGATATGTGGTAAATTGTTTAATTTCTGAGCCTACGTTTCCCCATATATAAAGTGGAAATAGTATTACTGTGCCTACTGTATGAGAATGGTTATGAAGACCAATGCAATGCCATGTTTAGAATGGGTTTGCCAGAAGAAAATCGTTTTAGAATTTTCCCATTGACTTGATGAATCTCAGAAGTCTCATGCAGGAAATAATTGCTTGTTGTCAGTCAACAAACGAAATAGATCACAGCATTTTTATTGCATTAAGCTTTTTAAATGAAAATTTCTTTTTAAAATTAGTATTTTATATTCTTACATACAGACCAGTAAAAATAGTAACAAGTAGAATTGTGGTTTTGAAATATTACTAAGGAAAACACTCTATAAATTGTTAATATTCCTTTTCTGGTAGGTAAACCTGCAACCACCAAGGGCTCCAAATTGTGTATGACAGTTGGCAAGCCCTAAAATACACTCTACATAAAAATGTTAGTGTTGCCTCTAATCCCAGCACTTTGGGAGGCTGAGACGGGCAGATCACTTGAGGTCAGGAGTTTAAGACCAGCCTGGCCAACATGACGAAACCCCATCTCTACTAAAAATACAAAATTTTAGCTGGGTGTGATAGCGGGCACCTGTAATCTCAACTACTTTGGAGGCTGAGATAGGAGACTCACTTGAACCAGGGAGGCGGAGGTTGCAGTGAGCCAAGATTGTGCCACTGCACTCAGCCTGGGTGACAGAGCAAGACTCTGTCTCAAAAAAAAAAGAAGTTAGGGCTGTACATAGGTAGCAAACCAAGCTACAGTGACGTTGCCTGTATTTAAATTTTCTCAAATGGCCAAGCTCTGATGGTCTACTTTATTTGAGTAATAGTTTAGACTTACAATTGCCTGTAAATAAACAAACAAATGCACTCTTAGTTTTTTTGTTTTTTTGGGTTTTTTTCCACAAGATCTGGCCTATATTGTCTGTCAGGAAGCCATGGCTCCAATGTAAAGTACATAGTTCTTACATACTTCAACTGCAGCTGGTCCCTGACCTCACCAGGTTTCAGAGATGTTCTTAAAGGAAGCCAGCTGTGACAGGTCACAGATTCATGGGAAATGGAAAGAACCAAGGAACGTAGCTCTTGCCTCACCTTTCTACCCACTGCAGATGTAGTTCAAGCCAGAATAATGGAAGAACTTAACTTACTAGCCTCTCAGGCTGCTCCTATCCCTACCTCCCAGTGTACAGCCCCTCCCCATCTCTTTAGTCCCCTTTCCTTCGCTTCCCCTTTTATAATGTCACATAAATCAGGGACAGTAGGATCACATTATAACCTACTTTGTCACAGGGATTCGATTTTTCTTATATCAAATCATGTTTCCTGAAACCCAGCTGGGGCATATGCACTCAATGTCTAATACATGCCTATTAATGTACCGGGTATTGGCCTTGCCCCTGAATATCAGCAATATATTATAAAAGATTCCAGTAGATGAGACGATTGAGTCTGAGTACAATTGCAGTAAATTCTGCCAATAAAGATATTGTACTGTTACGGTCTTAGAGTTAAGGCCACTTGAATGCAGTATGCACATTCATGTAAACAGACAATCAGGGTAGGCCTAGAATAACCACAAAAATTCTATTGGCCTTACTACAGCCGCCTATGTGTAGAACAATGGAGGAGATAGTTTGTGGTCCATTATTGTACCCTGTTTCATCCATTAGCCAGCATCAGAATCTCTCTTTCAGGTCATTTATTAAATACGATTGAAATGTTTAAAAGTTCCTGAACATGATTCGTGATGATTAAAATATCATATGACTGATAAAAGACTTTAAGAACTTCAGATATTACCTGTTGCCTCAAAATGTAACAGAAATTATTCTTAGAGCTTTCTTTTTAGCTATCCTAATTACTTCAAATAAATATTTGTTCTTATAGTTTTAAATCTAAAAGAAAAATCTTTTGGTTTTGTTTTAAAACCTTAAACTTGAAGTCATATTAATAAAATTAATATATTGTACATAGTGGAAAATTTTCAGTAGCTAATTTAAAATTTCAAAAAATGCTATTAAAGAATTTTGATTCATATATTTAAACTTTTTAGTTATGCATGCTTCTTATTAACCAAAAATGATAATACCATTCAGTTTAGTGAGCAGTATGAGAACCAATACCTAATCCTTATGTTGCTGTTGTATATTTTCCTAGTGGTGTGCCTGCTCAGAAAAACATACACTGTATGTGTATACATACTTGTGTATATATAAAAGGTCAATTTATATATTTTTCTATAGGAAAATGGAATAACAATTTCCCTACCTCCCATAATATGTATTTGTCCATATTAAAATAGCCACATTGATGATAATTTCTAGAACTAGTTTCTGAGATTGTCAGCCCTTTGTCTAAAATAATGGCAGTATTAATGATTGACTTCTGTCACTGCCATAGTTACCTGGATTGGCAGCCTTAGTAGCCTTTGTCTAAAGTCCTAAAGAGTTCCCAAAAAATGTGTTGAAATTTAATTGCTAAATAGTGGTTGGTGATTCTTTACATCAGGAATTGTAATAATTTTCTTGCAAATAAGTTATTTACTGCTATTGATATTGAAGAATTCATCTTTTACTCAGTTAATTTTATTATATGTATTTCAAAAAGCATGAATATATGATTATTCATAAATTGTACACTTTAACAGTAAGTTTTCAAAGGAAATAAAGACTTTTAAATCCTTTTCAGGCATGGTGTCATATTTTGTAGTACTTACATCTTTTATATATGCCAAGAAGTTGAAGATTGCCTTTAACCTGATTTATGTTTTAGTATTAGTCTAGTATGTAAATAGTTAATTGTCAAGCTGTATATTTGGTTTTGTTTTTAGGCATCTGCCAACTGTGTTAAGTTTGTGAGAAAGGCAATGAAATAATATAGGGCGTGAGTTACTTTGCAAACTGTTCTAGATGCCAACATTAGTGCCAATATCAAACAAAGGTGAATGAGACCTTTTTCTGTTTGGAATCAGTGCTGTAGAGACTGTGCAGCATGGGCTATGAATTTATAGTACATTGATTGCCTGCATACTGTTTTCACATCTCACTTACATGATGAGAATCTGAAAGGTGTTTCATATCTGCTTGGTAAATGAGAACCTGAAATGTTTTTCTTTAAGGGGTTTGAGTCCCCAGCAACTCATTTGCAACAGACAAGAGACTGCTGATGTTCTTTTTATGCAGAAATTATTCAATAAACTATGATTTGCTATTGAGTCAAATAAAGCAGACTGACACTTTTTGTCAATTTCAAGTAGTTTCTAAAGTTCCTCAGTAAGGAGACATTAAAAAGATAACAAGACTCTCAAAACTGGTGGTTTATCTGTGAGATTATTAATTAATCAATTTTAAGAAAGATAAGATTAATTGAATTTTTAAATAAATAGCTGTATTATCCTTCAAGCACCTTGAAACTCATACAATATTCACACTTTAAAAAAAAAAAAAAATGGTTCCAGAAGTTTGAATTTTCTTTAATGATGGCTGTTTAAAAATACTGGTTAAGTGATTTAACACTTAGTATCCCAAGTCACATTTTGAAGGCCACTTTTCTTTCCATTGATGCACAATTTAGCTTTGGGGCTGCAATGAGATACCCTTGTGGTGTAAGTTGCCACGTCTGCTCTTTCTGATGATGACTCCTAGGACAGTATGACAGGTAATCATTAGAACCTGGATCCTGGTAGACTGTAGGGTCTTTTTGGTCTATCGTTGCAGGGGGATTTATGCTTGTAACTCCTATTAATGTTAATAGGACTTGCATGTGCAAATCTTCCTCCTGTCAATGAGACAGTCGACCCCAAAAGAAACATTCTTTAGAGGTGGACACTGTAGCTGATCTAGAAGCCTCAGTGAATTGTCCTATTTAGGATTTTTATGTGTGGGGGAAAAAAATGGAATGAGTGTACCAGCTTAGCAGTGTATTTTCTCCAGAGCTTAGAAAGATGAAATGCTAGCACTTAATTTTCTATTTCCATTTCTAAAATATGTTAGAAACTACTGCTCTATGTGTACTATTAACGTAGCATTTTTTTCTCTTATTTTTAAAAGTAAAATAATTTTGCCCAGGGTTGTGTTGAAATCACATTTTAATATGTTAATACTATCCTGAAAGTTCTGGAAATTAATATTTTAAAGCTATATAATAGGATCCAGTCTCATAACAATCAAGGAAATGCACACAAACCCAGGGGATATATTTTGCTTATCAGGTTGGCAGAATCCCAAATACTGATAATAGCCAGAGTGGTAAGGACGTAGGGGAAAAGACACTCTTACATGTGAATAAGAAAGTATATAAATAGGTTACAGCCTATTCAAAGGGCAATTTGGCAGAACCTGTCAAAACTTTTTTTTTTTTTGCAGATTATTAAAATGACATTATTTTTGATATTTACAAATTTTTTCATTGCCACCTTTATCTTCAGGCGGTACATATGAAGGAGTATTACATGGGAATATTGCATGATACTAAGGTTTGGGATATGAATCCCATCACCCAGATAACATAGTACCCAGGAAGTAGTTTTACAATGCATGTCCCCCTCCCTCTCTCCCTCCCTCCCCAGTAGGCTGCATTGTCTATTATTACCATGTTGATGTCTACATGTGATCAGTGTTTAGCTCCCACTTACAAGTGAGAACATGCTGTATTTTGGTTTTCTGTTCCTGCATTTGTTTAGGATTATGGCCTCCATCTCCACATTGCTGCAAAGGCCATGATCTCTTTTTTTGTTTTGTTTTTGTTTTTGTTTTTGTTTTTACTGCTGCATAGCATTTCATGGTGTGTAAGTACCACATTTTCTTTATCCAGTCTACCATTGATAGGCACCTGGATTGATTCCAGGTCTTTGCTATTGTGAATAGCACATTGATGAATATATGAGTACATGTGTCTTTTTGGTAGAATGATTTATTTGGCATCAGAAATGCAAATCAAAACCTATCAAAACTTTAAATGCAGATAGCCTTTGGCCAAACGCTTTCATTTCTAAAAACCTAGCTTATAGACTGTTTTGTACATGTACACAAAATACAAGGTTCCACACTATAGCTTTGTGGTTTTATTTAATTTTGGAAATAACCTATATGTTCATTAAATGGAGACTGACTTGAATTGTTAATACATGCATTTAATAGTATAGAATACTATGCAGCTGCGAAAAATGAGGTACATCTGTATGAAATAGATCTCCAACATGTTTAAAAACCAAGTCTCAGAATGGTAAGTATATATGTGTAAAAATAAAATCCCTGTGTTTATTACATATGTATGCCTATCATAGGAAATTTTTAGGAATTTTCATACTAAAGTGGTAACTGATTATGTTGGGAAGAGATTAGTATTCGTAGGGGGAGAAGAAAAAGACTTTTTTTTTTTTTTGAGACGGAGTCTCGCTCCATCGCCCAGGCTGGAGTGCAGTGGCACGATCTCAGCTCACTGCAAGCTCCGCCTCTGGGTTCAGGCCATTCTCCTGCCTCAGCCTCCCGAGTAGCTGGGACTACAGGCGCCTGCCACCGTGCCTGGCTAATTTTTTTGTATTTTTAGTAGAGACGGAGTTTCACCGTGTTAGCCAGGATGGTCTCGATCTCCTGAACTCGTGATCCACCCGCTTAATTCTACATAATTGTTTTAGTTTTTCAGTTTTTTATAACTAGTAAGTATTCATGTATTGTTGTATTAAAAATTTGAATCTGTTTAGTAATCCACCAAATTCTTAGGTGGCATGTGGTACCTCCAAAAATAGTGACTTCGAACTTTGGGTTACATTGATGTTTTATACAGTGCAGTTCAGATAGGAAAGGTAATAATCAATGGGTGACTAGTTACATAAACTATGATTCATCTCTTACAGTGGAGTACTATGTAGTTGTAAGATGGAATTAGGAAACTACTACTTATGTGATCACCAGAATATACTTATAAGTGACAGAAGAATACACACAAAGGTGCGTGCATATCTTCATTTTGTGTAAGAAAGGGGCATTCCAAAACATATTTAAATAGTCACCTATTGTGAAAGGGAGGAGGCAGGGTGGAGGAATGGAAGCTAGACCTCCTTTTACCTTGTTTTATAGTTTTGACTTTCAAACTAAAAGCAATCCATAAAATTTGAAACCATTAATAACCATGTATTGAGTTGTTGGCATAACTATATGTAGAATTAAGTGACTTTAAAGCATTGGTATGGTCTGGGTCTATGTTGCCACCCAAATCTTATGTTGAATTGTAATCCCTGATGTCGGAGATGGGGCCTAGTGGGAAGTGATTGGATCATAAGGGCATATTTCTCATCAGTAGTTTAGTACAGTCCTCTTGGCACTCACCTCACGATAGAGAGTGAATTCTCACGAGACCTGGTCATTTAAAAGATCTCTTTTGCTTCTACTTTCACCATGATTGTAAGTTCCCTGAGGCCTCCCCAAAAGCCAAGTAGATTCTAGCATCATGCTTCCTGTACAGCCTGCAGAACTGTGAAACGATAAAACCTGTTTTCTTTATAAATTGCCCAGTCTCAGGCATTTCTTTGTAGCAATGCAGAAGTGGACTAATACAAGCATAGTGTTTAACTATATATTGTAAGATATGGAGATGGGTAGAGAACACAAAGAAATCTTAAACTTTATTGAGTGGACTTGATGATAGTGCTAATATTTATTGTGAAAGATAACATTGATGGAATTATTAACATTTTCTAGAACAAGAAAATAATATAAAAACAAAGATAAGTAAAAACCCTGTCCTCTTTAATTTGAATCAGATCAATGTATGCATATGTTCAAACTCATCAAATTGTACAGATTAAATATGTGCAGTGTTTCGATTTCAGTTAAACCCCCCCAAAAAAAAAATCAATATAAACTCAAGATGCAGTTACTTCATTCTAAAAAAATATATTTTCTAGCTAGAAAATTGGCAAAGGCTACTGGTGTCATGTCAAAAGAACATCAGAACCAATGTGAAGGAACTCTCATTGGTCATAGATAAGGCCATTTGAACATCAAGAGGGAATAATGGTACTCCAAAAAGCAAACGAACCTCATTGACCAGGCATGAAGATTGCTAAGGCACTCTTTGTTCTAGAAACTAATAAGTAAAGAGAAGGAAGCAATTATCACATATATCCTGTAAAGACTGTATTTCAGGACATCCAAATAGTTGATAAGGAAAGTTCTTGTAGAAGAATCACAATTAATAAATGCATGAGGAATGATAGAATTAGAAAAATCACTGTTTTGTAAACTCAATATAGTATAATAATGTACCTAGGCAATGATTACCAATGACTGCTAAAGCCTGTAGTTGAAAGGCATCACTCAAACCTACTGATAAAATTTAAATTACTACAAGTAGAAAGGCAGACATTATAAGTTTCCTTGTGTGTTGAAATAGAAAGTATATAGCATTACCTAGGAAGAATTCTTGCCAAAATAAAAAATAAAATGGACCTAAATCTAATCAAGGCTTTAGCTGTAACTACCAGCTTACAGGCATGAGGGGGACAGGAAAGCATGCTAAATGACACCAGGAAGATACAACGTGTAAAATTTTACAGGACAAATGACCCAATTTTATCAACAATTAACTGGCACAGGAAAAAAAATGTAGGAAGCATTATTACAGACTAAAGGAGATTTTAGAGATATCAAGCAACTGCAACATGCTGACCTTGTTTTCAACAAATGAC